AATATACTGAAAAAAATCCTAATATGCGATTATGCTGTTTAAATGTTTAATGTCAACGTCGGACGTTTCGGTCTAATAGAGCATCTTCAGGACATATTCATAAAACATAATTAACATAGACTATATACAATTCAACATGAAAAAGACGATGGACATAAAAGCACGGTGAACACTAGACCTGGCTTCTTTAATATTTCCCCTTTTCTAGCAAGATTAATGCTCGACAAACGTACATATAAGTTTTAGATCAAAATAAAATTCTTTTCATTTTTCATTCAAAATACTCAAATTTTAGGAATACGTTTTCACAACATCGCCCACGTGACGACGACGTAATCATATTTAAACGGAACGCTGATCTTATAAAAGATTTCAGTTATCTGTTTCGATTGGTATTGCTTTTATGTCCATCGTCCTTTTCATGTTGAATTGTATATGGTCTAATGTTAATTATGTTTTATGAATATGTCCTGAAGATGGTCTATTAGACCGAAACGTCCGACGTTGACATTAAACATTTAAACAGCATAATCGCATATTAGGATTTTTGTTTGTTTTTTCAGTATATTTTTCTTCATACTGTCGGATCTATATCCATATATTTGCTTATATATATATATATATATAAATATATATATATATATATATATATATATATATAGAGAGAGAGAGAGAGAGAGTGTGTATGTCTCAACGGCTGTTGTGATGCGTCTAGTGTGGTAGTCTGTAGTGGTAGTGCTTGTCGCTTCTCGCTTTCAGTTACCGCCGCTGGCTAGCAGAAATGCGAAAAGGGGGAGCCGAGTGCGTAAGTCTTTCTCTGCCAGTATATAGCCTCTCCGTCAGCAAGCCCTATGTAGTGCCACTTCGTGGCGACACATGGCAACCGAGCACCTTGCGGACTCGGGCTAAACTACAGGGGACGGGGGAGGAGTTGGCCCCCTTAACATGTGGCATGCAGGCCCAGCAGTGTGTGGACACGCCCTGGTGCCCATGAACCAAACCCCAGCTATGGGTTAAATAGCTCTACTGCCTTGTGGAAGTCTTCAAGAGAAGAAAAGGCTAAGGAATAAACCCTACACAAATCCGGAGTGGATCCCCTAAGGCGGATGGACGGCACTCTGTGCTACCTTCCGGCAACTCCTGCAGCCGCGCTGGTACCAAAACTGTATTGGTTTATCCTCTCCTTTGGACTCTGCTAGCAAGGCCGAGAGAGGAAACTAGACGTCTGGGCGGCCCTAGTTCTCCATACATCCCGTCCAGGCTCGTAGTGCACTGGAGTGGACACTCTAGCGACGTCTCAAGACATCGATTTAAGCGCTACTCCATCGTCTCCCGAGACGGGTGGATGCAGAACCGAACCGATATATATATATATATATATATATATATATATATATATATATATATATATATATATATATATATGTACGAGTTTAATTGAAGACGACTGACAAGGCACTTCGATTAGGCTTTTTTTATTAATTTATTCTTGTGTTGATACAAGGGATATCTTTTTGGGACATAGAATGTTTGAAAGCTGTCCAAATTATCTGTGGATTCGACCATTTTTTTTAACCTATTGACCATTATGAATGAAGTTTTTTCTTAAGCTTACATTATTTTAACCGATTTTGGAAGTAATAATAATAACAATAATAATAATAAAAAGAAACCAACTATGAACACGGCCACAATGCGGTGACCATATTCGGAAATTAAAAACATCCCCATTCTTATATATACATACTGAGTTAAGCGAACAACATTCTTTATAATGGCTAATCGATTAACCCACACCGTTCGGCTCCAAAGAACATTGTTTCCCAAATACACACTTATATATATTTATATATACCGCGTGTAACAGCCAAATTGTTCAAATCGTCTAACAGCAAAATTGTCGAATTGTTAGATTAAGATTTGAACCGCTGTAACTTAGAAATGATTAAAAATATCTTACTGGAATTCTTCGACGTTTTTATAACACTATTGGACTATACTTTGGGCAATAACAATGTATAATTACTCTCCAAGCTTAACAGAAGAATCGTGATAAAATCGATCATAGATTAAAATGACATGTTAATCATTAATTAATAATAGCTAAGAATCGGAGTCTCATGAAGGATTGAAATAAAATTCATATATATATATATATTATTCCAGGCTCAATTTTCAAGTCAATCAATATGATCTTCGCCTTCTATCTTTCTGTCCTAGTGTAACAAGGTACCCCACAGGTTTCACGCACGATTCAATTTAATTTTCAAGTTTTTTTTCACTGCTCTTTGGACTCTTATAACTGAAACTCCTCTCACGTGCCAAACTTCTTGCGAATTGAGTTGGATCTTTTCTAATTGATCTCTTTAACTCTTAAGTTGTAATGATGACCGCTCTTGTTGCTGTGACCTCCTGATCCAGTTTTCCTCTCTACTGTTCCCTCTTTTTAAAACTTATTCACCGTTTTCTTGATGGTTCTTGAATGGACTTTGAAGATGGAAGCCAGAGTATGAATATTGGTCTCATTACTGAAAGCCTAAATGATCTTTTTCCTCTCACCATTGCTCAGTTGGAAAGACAGTGGGTATGACACAAAACATTTTTATCCTGCTTTGTTTTTAGCTTAATAAATGGCTTTTCAGTGATTCTTACGAAAAATGGTGTCAAGATGGCTGAACGTCTTATCTGAAAACGTGCAAAAAGATTCTTAATTAGTTTAGTGGTTTTTTAGATATTAAACATTTTGTGGGGTGGATAATTATGCTGTTACACGATTAGGACAATTTTGCTGTTACATACGGTATATATATATATATATATATATATATATATATATATATATATATATATATATTAAATGAAACTAGTCGAGGAATCTAAATGAAATAATAATAAAAAAAACGAAAGAATATTAATCTACAACCCAGTGTGTCTGAAGATTTTCATTTTTAATATTTTTATTGTTCAATATATATATATATATATATATATATATATATATATATATATATATATATATGGATGGATGTGTGAGTTCTTATTGTTTTTTTGGAGTGTCTGTGGGTGTGTGTGTTTGCGCGCACGCTCGTGTGTGTGCGTGTTTGTCTCATGTTTCTTGAAGGTTACATTGGAGGAAAGATATTGTGTTAAGCCAATCTTTCGAGTGGGGGACATCTTGCCAATCAAGATGATTTGTATCCAAAATGCCGTCCTTTTATTCTGAACTCGAAAAAGGAATCCGGGTGCAACTCGAAACCGTTTCAACCACCAAGCCGTCATATGATCTTAAGACTTAAAGACCCTAAATTTTAGACGACTCTTGTCATCCTAGATAAAGGGCTCTGTTTTGATCATTGCTTGTCAGCTAGAATATCAATTTCAGGTGGTGCTCTAAGGCGTCGACATCGAAACTCCGGAGGTGTAAGGATCGCCTTGATCCACACGCTTTCAGATTTTTGGAATGTTCTAAGCTATCTTACTAAACAAGAAACGCTTTGAAGGATATCAGAGAGGCTCATAAGTCAATTATATTGCCATTTCTTTTTTCTTTCTTTTTTACCCATATTTTCTGATGTTAATCTTCCTTTTGGCGATTATGTTCCAAATTTTGGTGCAATTAACTTCTATTCTGTATTTAAAATTCTACTTCTTGTATTTATTTATTTGTTGACAAAATTGCACTCTTTTTTTTATCTATATGCTTAACTTAATCTGGCACAAGGCCACACGCTTTGGGTATTTAGAAGAGATCAAACTACGTTGGTGCATGGATCTAGATCAAACATTCCCAACATGGGACGAAGGCCCCACCGGTGGGGCATGGTAATATTTTGGTGGGACATGTGTAGGAAGTGCACCCTTCGGCTTACTATACCAACAGAATGGGTGTGTGGGGGTTTCAATTCGAGAATGAGTTATTAAAAGTGAATGGTTTTCTAGCGAGTCTGAGTGAGAGTATTAATGTTAATGCTTGTTAATACATACTGAAAATATTAGAATCTGATTTGAAAGAAAGATTTTCTGATCTAAAACAAATAGATTTTCCAATATGGTTGATGCAGCCAATGCTAGTAGATATTTCTGATATTTTGATGCGTTACCAAGAACTCTCAGAGACGCAAAATGATGAGCCTGTTAAAACTTTATTCAATATAAAAGGAATGATCGCATGACTTTGTGATGAGACAGTGACTAAATACCCAAATTCAACCACCGTTACGAGAAATTTGTTGTTACCATTTCCATCTTCATATTTGACTAAATGTGGCTTTAGTGCTGTAAATGATTTATTATTGAAGAAAAGAAATCGACTTTATATCACTAAACGAGGAGACTTGAGGCTTAAGCTGACTAAATTGGTGCCTAATATAAAATCAATCTGTAGCAAGCATGACGAACAAGGATCTCACTTACAGTCCCTTTGTGATGAGCTCAAATTTCATTTTGCATTATTATTTCAGGATTAAAATAATCAAAGTATATTGCAGAATAAGATTTCATTCAAATATTTTATATTTCTGCTTTTCAGTTCTTTATTAAATGTTTTGAAACTATATATATATATATATATATATATATATATATATATATATATATATATATATATATTTTTAACTGTCTTTTGTTTGTTTTTTAATTTTCTCTTTTGATGGACGCTGTGGCCCTTCGAAGCTTGTTTAGAGACCAAGTTAATGGCCGTTTAAGCTTCCTTCACATGAACTGCAGTAAAACTTTGAATATGTAAGATTTAGATATTACGGGGGGTGGGGGGGCACCAGTATTTTAGAAATTCCAAAGTGGGGCATGGTCTAGATGTTTCTGAGAAATCCAGAGTTAACTTTCTACAGGGTGCAGTAGAAAAATACTTCTCAGAAATACTTGCCACCTTATGGTAAGACATTAGATGCAATTGCGCCTTCATCCATTATGTAGGATGCATTTCTGCAGCAGCTTGTATGTATTTTTTTTTAAATGTAGACGCCATATTGTTTATGTTAAATAATTTTCGTTCAGCGGAAGGCTAAAAGTCGGTTAGAAAAACTGTGTTCGGCAGCTTACAATGTGCTTGCCTTGAAAATTAGGATTTTAAAGAGTTCTTTTAATTCGGTTCTTCATGAAATTAATTCTTTTTTTTTGTCGATTTCTTCTTCGTAAATATTAATGTTTTCTTTATTTTTTCTCTTTTTAACAAACGTTATTTTTCTTTCTTTTCTTTGTTATTTTTTCCAGAAATATAATTATTCTTTTTATTCCTTCCATACTTCTCTTTTTATACTTCTTTCTTTCATTCCTCCTTTTTTTTGTTTCTTTCTTTTTTTGTAAACGTCATCCTTCTTTCTTTCTTTCTTTCTTTCTTTCTTTCTTTCTTTCTTTCTTTCTTTCTTTCTTTCTTTCTTTTTGCAGTTGTATTATTCTTTTTTACCTTTCCTTGCTTTCTTCTCCTCTTATACTTCTTACTTTCTTTCCTTTCTTTTTTCTTTCCTTTCCTTCATTCTCCCTTTGTTTCTACATTTTTGTAAACGTTATTCTTCTTGCTTTCTTTCTTTTTCTTTCCTTCTTTCTTTCTTTCTCTTTTTAGACGTCATTCTTCTTTCTTTTGTTCGTTTGTTTCTTTCTTTTGTTTTTTAGAAAGTTTTTAATTCTTTTTTCTTTCCCTTCTTTTTCTCTTTTTATATTTCTTTCTTTCTTTTGTTTTTTCTTTGTTTCTTTTTCGTAAAGGCCATTCTTCTTTCTTTCTTTCTTTCTTTTTCTTTTTTCCTTTTGTTATTTTTCAAAAATGTTATTCTTTTTCCCTTGCATTTTTTTTCTTATATTTCTTCCTTCACTTTTTCTTTGTTTTTTTTTATCGCCATTCTCTTTCTTTCTTTCTTTCTTTCTTTCTTTCTTTTTCTTTCTTTTTCTTTTTTCTTTTTTCTTTCCTCTTTCTTTCTTTCTTTCTTTCTTTTTTCTTTCTTTCTTTCTTTTTCCTTTCTTCTTTCTTTCTTTCTTTTTTTCCTTTATTCTTTCTTTCTTTTTCTTTCTTCTTTCTTTCTTTCTTTCTTTCTTTGTCGTCCATTATAAACATCCTTTCGTTAATTTTTCATAATTTTCTTATTTTTTCCTTCTTATTTTTGGTATCTCTTTCAGGTTTTTGTTCTCTTTTTTTCCGTGTTTATTTTTCTTTCTTCCCTTCCATCACTTCTTCTTCTTCTTCTTCTTCTTCTTCTTCTTCTTTCATGTTACATGTTTCCATTCTCATCTTAACTTTCATTCAATCTTCTAATTCTAAACATGTCCCCTTTCTTCTTCATCTTGTTTTTTGTTTATTTACTTTTCTTTTTTCATTCATGCATTCAATTCCTTCGCCTGCTTCATTTCCCTCATTTATATCTCCTTTTACCACCGCTCCTTCTTGACTTCTCTCTTTTCCAAGATTTTCATTTACACGTGTTATACACATGTAAAAATTTGTCACTGTCTTCCTTAATACGACCATAACATCCATGCCATTTCCTCCACAAAATATCTACGATTTCTACTTAGTACAACCAGAATTTTTATGGGAGTGAGAGACCGTCTTTATTCTTTAAGGAAAAAAGCGACGTAATACACACCAGGAAATGTTTAACTGCTAAACGAAAAAGCCAGTAATTTGGATGCGTTTTCAGCAAAAAGGAAGTTAACGCCATTTTTTTCAAAAAAAGATTTAAAACAGATCCTTATCATATTCATATGATTGATTATTTCGAATAATCAGGCAATAACTATGATATCCATGAAAGATAATAACCATATCCGGAATCCTTAATTTTCGATTCCTAACTCGAAGGGTTTTTATTTTTACATTGAATATGTATCATATATACAATAAAATATTCAGGTTAATAGTTAATACATAATAATGAGTTAACAACTGTCAATTAGGCTCACGAAATTTTGCTACACGTTCATATGTATCTCATATACATATGGCCTAACCGTCCTGGGTAAGACGATAAACTACATCCGACAGCAAGGACTCTGATCAGGAGGTTTTGAGGAGCGTAGAACCTCCTCTTAATTGCTGGTGTTCCCAGGTCTACCCTGACACGAGGTGGTAGCATCTGCTAGGGTCCTTTCTATGGGCAAACAGTTAACCTCAAAGTGGGGTCAAAACTCTATGAAAGTGCTAAAATAGGTTTTAGCATCAGCAATACATTTTTGTAAAAATTATTATCAGCATTTGAAAAAAAATATTACCAGCAATACCTTTTTTAAGGGAAAAAATATTGCCAGCAATAGATTTTTGAAGGAAAAAATATTACTAGCAATATATTTTTTAACAAAAATATTACCAGCAATAAAAATCTTGTCGGCATTAAATAATTGTTATGGTAATTTACACACGCACACATGGGATCGCCTAGCTATAAATAGGAGCAGGTACTGCCTTTTGGGAGGGAAGTTTCCAGCAGTCAGCTCTGACAGTAGGACCAAACATTCTTGCTGTAACACTCTTGTTTGTATATGTTTGTATTACTGTTTCTATTAAGATATTTCTTTAACTCAATTCCTCTGTGTGTCTTTATTTCTGGCCCCTAAAAAGGCCACAACAATAACCCATAGAGGTTGAGATACCGTAAAACATACCAAACCAAACCATATGACCTAACAGAGATATCATTAACAGCCGCTGAACTTAAATTTTCGCACAATTAAAACAAATCTATGCAAAATCAAACAATAACGCAAGCTTTTGCAATTTCCTCACACTTTATAGTAATCTCACACGTCGACGAATTGTAAAAAATATACCTTTGTTATTAAACCAAATTTTTTAAAACATTAATCAGTTTGTCTGACGATCGCTAAAGCGTGAAACCCAGGGTCACAAACTCACATCTATCCAACCAAATATGTTAGCACTATCTCTGATATTGAGCGCTTTCTAATAAGTACCGCGCATATAATATATAAATAATTATACATATATATATCTATTTATATTTATATACACTTTTCACATATATCTTTGTTATTATATATTTACTTGAACCGTTATTTTTAGTTTTATTTTAATAGATATTCGTATTTGACGCCCGGTTGATTTAAACAGTGTTTATTACGTCTGTGCACTCAAGATAACTCGTTAAAGTGAACGTGCCTTCTGACAGGTGAGCGGTCAAAGCACGACGTATCGGACAGTGGTTTCATCTGTAAAGGAGGGTGCAGGTTCAAATTCTACCGTAAGATATATTTTCTTCATAAAAGAGGCAGGTAGATAAAATAATCACATATAAATATCGAGCATCTCCGATAAAATCTTAAATAAACGAAACATCTCCGCAAATACAGGTCTTCACTAAAAATAACGATTGAAGTAATAAAAAAAAAGTAATCAAATTAAAAATAATCAGTAATAAAAATTGTAAAAAAAAAAAAAAAAATGATAATAAAAATGTCTGCAATTAAGAACTAAAATCCGTAAATAGAACCTTGTTGACGGTGAAGCTATTGGTAGCCAAGTGCTTAAAGTACGTCGGATCTAACAGCGGTTTCTCCTGCAAAGGGGGACGCATGTTCGTATCTATATAGATTTATTATGAATTTGCTGTGTTGGGGTACAACGATGACTTTTTGGACACAAATTTATATAGACATTTTACCTTGTTTTGGTGTTAGCAACCCGGCCCAAATGTATTTTTGATACATCCTGTATATACATACAGTGTGTCAAAAAAAAAAAAACTTTTACAAACTTTGAGGGCCGGGTTCTTCTCAGCAAAACAAGGACAAAATGCCCGCAAAATCCTTCGTTTTTCAGTTATTAAATTTAAAGTTTACGGGGTACGCCGCTTAATGTACAATCCAAGATACAATCCAAAAATACATTTACAAATTTTGTGGGCGGTTTCCAGACAGCAAAAGAAGGTAAAATATCAATATAAACATATATCCAAAAGGATAGTATTATATCTCAACACAGCTATTCATAAAAAATGTTCAAAATGTCCTCTGCTTGCTTCTACACAGCTATGCACCCGTCGGATCATTGACTGGCGGACCCTTTCAAATACTCCCACACAGTGTCGAATGGTTTCGCAGGCCCTCATGACGCGTTCATAGAGCGTTTTTGCATCAATAATGTTGCTGCATAAATCAATTGTTTTAGGTGGCTCCACAGATAAAAATCCAAATGATTCAGGCCGGGGGAATGTGAAAGGCCATGGAACCAGTCCTTCCCTCCCTATCCATCTTTCATGGTAGATGTCATCGCAAACAATGTGACTAAAATGTGCTGAAACCCATCATGCATGAGCCATATGCGTCTTCGTATTAGCAGGGGTACATCCTCTAGCAGTTCCGGAAGTTTGCTCGAAATAAAGTCCCTCTATACAGCTCCTGGGAGAGGTGCTGGGAGAACATACGGACCTACCAGGCAATCACCTACAATGCCAGCTCATACATTAATCGTAAATTGATGCTGCTCTCTAGCCTGTTTTGTACCATGGGGATTACGATCTACCCACAAATAATGGTTGTGAAAATTTGTTATTCCATCTCTTCTAAATGTTGCCTTATCCGTAAACAAGACTGAAGAGATGAACATTGGATCGGCAGTTTGTGTAATAAATCATCGGCAAAAGTTATCCCGTGGTGAGTGGTCAGGGGACAAAAGACCCTGCAGACGTTGCAAATGATACGGATACAGGAGCTGATCTTGACGTACCCTCCATGTGGTACTATGAGATATACGACTTGCTAGGGCCACTTGACGTGTGCTGATACCTGGATCGTTTCCGTCAGCCTACAGAATGGCTTCTTCGTGGTCAGGCGTCATAGATTGTGGTGCCACGGGTCCTGTCCCAGCAACGCGACGATAAGCAGCAGCAAGGGTTGGACGACTCGGCTGCCTTCGGTCTGGAAACGCCAACTGATACAGCCGTGCAGCCTCGCGTCCATTACCATTCGCGCGGCCGTATGTAAAAATCATATCTGCCTGGCCACGATATGAATATCCTGCCATTGTTAAACGGATCAC